CGCACCGCCGTATTTTTTATCTTTCGTGCATGTGACGAGTAGTAGAGTCAGGCCCATGCTAGGCAAACTTGCTCTTGACAACAAACAAATTTCTTATCTGACAGACGGAAGTGGTAAGCCCCAATTGGACCAAGGCAGGCAGAGTTGAGGGGAGGGGTTCAATAGCGGAGGGAGGGAGGGAGGGAGGGGTTGATTGGGGAGGGAGGGGATCGATGGGGGAAGGAGGGGTTGGATGGGGTAGGGAGGAGGTTGATTGGGGAGGGAGGGGACCGATGGGGAAGGAGTGATTGGATGGGGTAGGGAGGGGGTTGATTGGGGAGGGAGGGGATCGATGGGGGAAGGAGGGGTTGGATGGGGTAGGGAGGGGGCTGATGGGGTAGGGAGGGAATTGATTGGGAACGGATGGAGGAGAGAGATGATTGATTGCAGTGGGGAAGGGATTGACTGAGGAGGGGAAACAGTCCAACTGTCTAACCACCAGTCAATTTGACGCTTGGCAAACAAAAAAATGCATTTTGCGGAGCCTGGAATCCGCAGTGCAGGCACAGGCTTGGAACTGGCCTGGCCCGAGACTCGAGTGCTGGGACCTTTTGCCAGCACTTAGAACTAAAAGAAGGCCTTTGTTTTCAATCATGTGCTACCCCAGCCAACCTCTCTACCAAGCCAGCCCTTGTTTCTAGCACACATTGAGCACAAGATACAGGCAGAACCTCCACACCTAGCACAAATCGAGGGTAAGATACAGGTGGAATCTGAACAGGCAAGGCTGTTGTTTTCACTCATGTGCTTATCCCAGCCAACCTCTGCACCATGCCAGCCCCTGTATCTAGCGTACATTGAGCGCAAGACAGGCAGAACCTGGACGAACAACAAAGCAAAAGGTAAGTACTCCTGTATTTTCGTTTTTGGTTTTTGCCCTTCCACCAAGACAGGACGTAAAATGCGCCTGCCAGCAAGGCCCAGCATCTACCGCGGCACAACTCACCAGACACGAAAAGGACAAACCAAATAAGGATAAAAAAAAACTCCGAAAACCTGCCTCCCACCGATGGTCCTAAAATAATCAGTTGGTACACTCATGAACTGTTGAAATACAGACCTGTGCTCGAATCCAGAAACTAATTCTGACTAACCTCTTAAAACACCAGTACACCAGACATTGGCCCACGGGGGTGTCAATGTGAAACCCGCACCACTTCGGAGGCCGCCGATTTATTTTCTCAATGGCGCCCCATGCCGCCGGTCCCTCCGAGTTTTGCTTGTGGCGACCAAAAACTTTCTGCAAGGCTGCTGGGCCCGTGTACTTGCGGTTTAAAGCTCACCCTTGAGCTAGCTCAATGCGTGTGCCTTGATGCAGCCTTGGAGATGCATTCTGTTGCTGTGCATCTAGCCGTTAACTTTTCCTGTGAAAATTAAGAAGAGTTTTGCCCTGACTTGATGCAGCCTTGGAGATGCATTCCTGTGAAAAATAAAAATATTTTTACCCCCCGACGGATTTGAGCTAGCTTTTCGGTCCACGAAACCTGACGCCTGACGGAAAACCTTTTCACCGCCCCCTACCCTCTGCCCTGCTCATTTGAGCTAGCTGCCCTGTTCACTTCGAGTGGGACAGGGGCAACTAGGTAGCTCAACGGACGTTGCGCCATCTTTGCCTCGTCTTGCGAGAATCACTCTGACAGATGTGCGAGGGCGCCCGTTTCAATTATTTGGCAGTGCATGCGAAGACCCAGGAATACTGTCCACTTTCATTTCCACTATTGTATCATTTCCACTGTTGTGTCATTTCCACTATTGTGAGGTCCCAGTCTCCACGTTGGCGCACCACACTGAGAGTTGCCTATACGAAGCAGCGTTTCACTCGAAAATATTTGTTTCTCCATTTCACTTTTTTGAAATTATGGATGCAGGCATTCAGTACCATTTCTTTATCCATTTTACTTTTTCGTAAATTTGGGAAAAAACTTTCAGCAGCACTTCTTTCTCTTTTATGCATCCGTTTCGAGTTTCTAATTCACAATAACTGTTTCCGAACCGTTGAGTTACCCCAACTCAAAGGTGTAAGTGAGAACTGGCCACTGTGGCCATCACCCTTAAAAAAGAAGAGAGAACAAAGCAGAAAATCTTTGCCACCAACGTACCTAGAGGCTAGATGATTTGGTACGCCCGTGAACCGTCGGCATCCAGAAATCTTGGTGGTGTACAGTCCCATGTTTCAGGGAAAGATTCATTCAGATTTTGCACCCACCAGAAATATGGGTGGTGTATCCGTCCATGTTCCAGGGAACGATTCATTCAGATTTTGCACATCTGGTGTTTGATGGAGCGAGGGCGGTACGCCAAATGCGCAGAATCATGCCAAAACGAGAACAAATCTCCCGATTAAAAAAAAATGGAAAGATACAACCCGCGTCTTTTGAGCTGCACCGATTGCCATTGATGAGAGAGAGAAAGATTCCTCTTTTAGAAGATTCCCATCCACTTTTTCCTTCCGCCCCCCCCCCCCCCCCCCCCCCCCCCCCCCCCCCCCCCCCCCCCCCCCCCCCCCCCCCCCCCCCCCCCCCTCCCTCCAACCATGACGCAGAATCCTGCCAGCAGGGACCTTGCCCCATGTCTTCCTGGTCTGATTGTGGGCCTCGTTGCACTACTCTCGACATGCACAACAGACAAAAATCATGGCGGTGCATCTTTCCATATTCTAGCCGAAGATTCACTCTCGTTTTGCACATTTCCAGAAGAGTAGTGCAGCGAGGCCCTGTATCTTGCCCAGTAAACAGTCCGGATACATGTGGAAACTTGCACAGTGGAGCAAGGCCCTTGGGAGATCAACAGATTCAACACCCTAGTGTGAGTAGGCCCTGTGTTTGCACCCCTCTACGCACGACAAGATGGCAGAGGGCCTGTAGCTTCTGATGGGCTTCCTTTTCCCTAATGGTTATGTATTCCTAAAGGCAGGATGTTCTTTTTCTTGGGACATCTTGGGAAGGCAGCGCATTTTCACATGCGCCACCTGGCCACAACTTCGAGGCGAAAGAGGCACCTCATTTTTCAGGGGCCCATCCGCCCCTTGCCACCGAGCCTCCACTGAACCTGTGCACTAGAGATTTCGGCCCGATACATGCATACACGAGAAAATCTTACGGTGTAGGCGTCGTTGAACTCGTGGTTTAAACTGCCACTCCCCCCGCCGGCCTAAATTCGGGGGAACGGGTAGCACAGGTTCAAGAGGGCTACCGGTAGCACAGTGAGGAGAACCAGGGAGTGGCAAAAATGGGGGAAAAATGTGTCCAAATCTACAGCTGCGATTTATCTTGTGGCGTAAACGTTTTTTTCTTATTTTTAAAATACTTTCCCTGGAAAGACCGCAACCAAATCTACCGCTGTTGGGGCAGGAGGCACCATGATTTACCTTGTTTGCGATAACCTATGCTTCCAGGGGTCCCCTCTATAGTGAGAGGCACCATGATTTACCTTGTTTGCGATGCCCTATGCTTCCAGGGGTCCCCTCTATTGTAGAAGATGAAGCATACTTTAGCATACTTGAAATTAATGAAATTGAATCCAGCAAAGATGAGGCACAATAGAAAGAAACGTTACCTTCTATTATGCATATGCCTTCATGAGTAGATCCAACATGATCTTCATGGGAACCTGACCTTTATGCAAGCAATGAATGCAGCATACTTGAGAAAGGGGTTTACCCAACATTGAGACAGTTAGCAATATGATAGACAATAGATCAATTATGTCATTCTCTTGACAGTATAGTATATTCACCATTATCATCGTTGGGAGGCCTCCCAGTTTATTTGTTCTTACACAACCCTCTTACTGTGCCTCTCACGTACAAGGCTTCCCACGTTGATGATGGTTAAGAGCCTGTGTGTGTGTGTGTGTGTGTATGTGTGTGTGTGTGTGTGTGTGTGTGTGTGTGTGTGCGTGTGTGCGTGTGCGTG